GAGGCCTTCTCTTTTTGTATTTGCAGGCTCAGTCACTGATCGTTTCCTTGATTTTCGATATGGGTTTTTCATCCGGCCTGCAAGGGTGCGGTTTTCCTGTACAGTAAATATTTGAAGGTCCGGCACGCCCCCAGGGCATAGCGGTGTAGGAATAATAATATTTAAGTTAGTAGTCATCACTAAAGCTAACACTGGGTCAAAGTCTGTTGGATTTGGCAGGTGGTCAGGAAGGGCAGTTCTGGGGTAACTAGCGGCTTGGCACCATGATCTGGAAAATGCCTGGAATGGTTCTTGGAACAGCAGAGAGAGACATCATCATCAATTGAGTGGTGGCCCATCCTTTGGTGCCCAATTACTACGGTACGGTAAATTCGTGGCTGTTGGCTTTCCAACAAAGTCAGACAGTTCTTAGAGAATCTATACGTAATAAACAGCGAGAAAAAAAAAAGCAGTGAAAAATTGATAGATTTGACCCCCACCCGATTTGAACGGATAACCTTTCGATCTGGAGTCGAACGCGCTACCATTGCGCCAGAGGGCCCCACTTTTATTTAATGACAAGATATTGATCAGTCTTGACTTATCAGAGCATAGCTAATGTTGGCAGATGTCCAAACAAGCTCTAAAAGCATCAATCTACGAATAGGCCTCTGTGAAAAGGCTTTGCATAAGGTACTGTAATGAAGATGTAAGCTGGCAATAGAGCTAGCGCTTACTAGATTGAACTATAATAATTGGGCTAAAGCAAAGTGTACGGCGACAGGTTTGGGCAAGGTGGCAGGCACCGGGACTCTTGTCGCTCCTTCCCCAGAATTGTCACACCGCCGTACCGTGTTGGGATGCCGTGTAAATGGAATATTCATCGTGCGATTTTCATTTCACGATCTTTACAAGTTTTCGTCGTTCTAGTGGCGACAAACTAGGCACGAGCACAATCGTCCGTCCTCACGCCTTATTTTCGTCATTGTTCGGATTTCCCGAAACACCTGGGCAATCAGTTGGTCATGTACCTGTCTGTCATTGGGAGGTTTTGCGCAGATGCACTGAAATGCCTTGGTACCCGCCGACGCCTGTGCGATGCAGCCCTGCAAGATGACGACACCGCTAATGCTTTCAGGCAAGTGATTGCTGCCCTGTCGAACCTGTCAGGGGGCCCTTGACAACGCTGCTGGCTCAGACGCGCTTGCAGATCACCTTGGGTGTCCGAGCGATGCGGCTCTGCATTCTCAACGACCTCCAACGTACCTCATCGTTGTGAGGAAGCTTTGGACACTGTAGGTAGTCTGTTCCAGGTTGATTTGCTGGCATGGCATATGGCAGGTGGAAGACAGAGCATGCAGGAAAGGAAGGAAAAAGGAGAAATTCATGATGGGAAAGGGTGGACGGGAAAAAGTATAGGAAAGAAAGAAGATAAATGCAAAAACATGAAGTGAAAAGAGGAAAGGAAGAAATAGGAAGAGAAATAGAGCAAGCGGAGCCGAAAGGATAATAAAGGAAGAGAAGAAACCACAAGGAAAGAAACAAAGAAAGGGGCTAACCAGCAGTTTACCTCCCTCCGTACCTTGTTTCAGTAACACGTTCCGCTCTGGTAAACAAATCGTGGCCGGACTTTTGCATTCACCTGGCACAAGCCCCTCCATCCAGCGACACCAATCTCTGCCTACCCACACTCACCAAACTAAACCACCACAAAATAATCCGCTCACTCATCCTCCTCAACCTCAAACCCCTCCACCCTCACCGCGTCCTCCCCCTCCCCCACACCACCTTCCTCCCCACCCCCCAGATCCTCAAACCCCTCCTCAACCCGCTCCGCGACCCCCAATTCAACAGGCAACCCCCCACCCAGCCCTCTCTCCTCGCGCAGCTGCTTAACCCGCGTAGCCGTCATCTCAAAGACATACTGCCCAAGGTGTTCCACGCCCTCCATGACCGCCTCGCCCAGCAGCTGAGCCGGGACGAGCGCCGTGGCGGTATCCCCAACCGCATCCCCACCATCAGCACCCCCATCCCCGCCCCCATCCCCATCCCCATCCCCGTCCGCAGCCGTACCAGCGGGTGGCGGTGTCAGCAACCGCTCCGAAGGCCACAGCTCGCCCGTGACCAGCGCCAGCTTGTCGGGCCGCTGCAGCAGCAGCCCAAAGGCGTCGCGCAGCTCGAGGCAGCGCTCAAACACGTCGCGGCGGCCGAGTATGTACAGGCCCAGGCGGGCGCGCGAGAGGGCGACCGTCAGGCGGCGCAGGTCGCGCAGGTAGCCGACGCGGGTGGTGCGCGTGAGGGAGAGGATGATGTCTGCACAAAGCAGAGAGAGAACAAATTGTCAGTAAACCAAATTTTTTTTGGGTAGGATGGGTTGATTGGAAGGGAGAAACGGGGGCTCTTACAGTCATTCTGCTCGCCCTGGTACTTATCGACGGTGGTGACCACCCTCGGCAGACCAAAGATGGGGTTCTTTGCGCACCGGTGGGCCAGCACATCCCGGATGAGCGCCCTCTGCCCGGCGTACGTGGCCAGGATGCTGATCTTGGCCGCCGGGTAGCCCAGCAGGCGCATGTACTGGTAAATGGCCACGGCGTACTCTGCCTCGCCCAGGTTCTGGATAAAGTGCGGCGAGGGCTCCGTCTCGCCCTTGCCCTTGTAGTCCGGCACGTGGATGAACTGGTAGTCGAACTTGAACCCGGCGTTGGCCGTGAGGAACTCTCTCTGGGCTTGGGTGTGCGGCAGGTCCGACAGTTCCGGGTACCGCCACCTGTACAGGTTGGAGATGGAAGGACGGGCGCGGCCTTGCTGGTCGAGGTTGATGGCTGGGACACCGAGGCGGACGAGCCGGGAGAAGAGCGACTGCTCCAGGTTAGCGTAGTGCCGGAATGCCAGGCCCTGGATGACGGGCGAGTTCTGGTAGTGGTCTCCGCACAGGACGACCCTCTGCAGCCCCGACTGTCCATCCTTGAGTTTCTGCATGGCCAGCGGGATGAAGTTTTCAATCTCGGTGATCTGGGCAGCCTCTTCCATGATGACATTGTCATACTGGAAGCCCAGCGACGCGATTTCACCCCTCTTCATCGCGGCGTGCGTCGACGTCATAGCAATGATGCGCGCCTCGCTCGTGAGCAGATAGTTGGCCTTGTCCTTGTCGCGCCGTAGAATCTCAAAAGGCAGCACATCGGCCAGCTCGGAGAAGATCTTGGAGATGTGGCGGTAGCATCCGTTGGCAGTCTCCATCACGGTCTCGCGATCCGCGTCCGCCGGGAAAAGGGGCTGTGGGGCATCCGCAAAATAAGCGTGGAATGGGAATGCTTGGGCAACCTCTTCCGGGCTGGCATCTTCCGCCTTGACGACGTTCGTGAACTTGGCCCATGCCGGCTCGACATAGACCGCGTTGAAGTAGCCAGCCGTCTCTGCCGAGTTTCCGTGGGCGCCGGGCGCACCCATGCTTGCAGCGAGGCGGTTGACCTCGAAGAGAAAACGCTGCCGATTCTCTAGGAAAGACTCCACCCTGCCGTGCTTGCTGAAGCTCCCCTCGGTCTCGAGCTCTTCCTCGCCATGGCCCAAGCGGAGCAGATGACGCTCGTCGATGTCCAAGGCCACAATCTTGGCAAACAGCTGGTTCAGAGCTTGGTTGCTGTGGGCTATAAGCAGGGTTTTCTGCTCCGGGAAGTTGTGGTAGATGTTGTTGATGATCTGCGTGGCCACGTCCGTCTTGCCCGTACCGGGAGGGCCGACGATGACTGTGAGCCCCGGCTGTGTCCCCGACATGATGGCCTCGATCTGCTTGGGGGTGAATCGAACCTTGTTCAGCTTCGGCGCGTCGACCGGGTATGGCCCGTTATTCGGGGGCCTGTACGTCGACACATGGACCGTTTCGATCTCGGCAATGAGAGCCGGTTCCGCATCCCGCCTCCTCTTTTTGGAGGACTTGGGAACAGCATTTTCGGCCTGCTTCTCGACCGTCTCCAGGACGTACGGGGGCCCGAAGCTTCCGGACACGTCGTCGCTCGGTTCGACAGTCTTGCCAAGCAGGCTCTCGATAAGATGCTGCCAGTCCAGAAAGGTATCGCGGTAGTTGACCTTCTTGACGCGGTTCGGCAGGTGTTTGTATGTCGCGCCCGCTGGGTCGCCGTATCCCAAAAAGACCTCGTGCAGCCAGGATGCGAGTGGGAGATCGGAAAGAGTCAGATCTCGGATGGACTCGAGCACCGGCTTGAAGTTATTTTCTCGGCCGGCTCTCCGGATGAGAAGGTTGACGCCGTCGTAGACGTTCCGATTGCCCTCTGTGTCCGCCATGAAGGCTCCCGCATCCAACCGGAACTGGATCTTCCTCGAGTCGCTACGACTGTGGCCATTGAAATAAGCCTGGGTATCGCGGATCGCTCGTCCCTTGTCGTCGAGAATCTGTATGATCTCGGCCGCGCGCACCGAGACTAGCCCGAGCTTTTCAGCCTCGGACAAGGGCGGCCCACCATTTGTGATCTGCTTCGACTTGGACGCATCAACAGCGACAAGAAAAAGCACGTCGTCGGCACGCAGGGATTCCCAGTCTCGCCGAACGTGTAGTGACAGCTTTCTCAAGTCGATGGTCACTTCAGCTCGCACCAGGGAGGGTTTTTCGTCGCCGACGCGCGGTGGTACAACCTCGAGGATGGTTGGCTTTGCGATGGGTAGAGCCATTCTTGAGAAGCCCGAGAAGGTCGTCACCCCCGCTCGTCTGCTCTCTGGCTGCAACCTCGCCAGCACGTCCTCGATATCTTGGCGAATAGCGTAGAAGGCCTCGCAGCGATAGAGAACCATGGCCCTCCACAGAAAATCACCGACCGAGAGGTATTGCAGGTTGAACTTGGGAAGAGCCAAGGGCCGAGATCCATCGTAGTGATCGGTTCTCCTGAGCCCAATGTCGAAGAGGGTCTCCTCGGTTGGGAGGATGCTCAGGTCACGGGCAGCGTCCTGGAAGGGTTTCCGCCTCTCGAAAGTCGACAGGAGAACCTCCATAACGAACCTGCGGTCAACGGGCACCTTGGCAGATTCCGGGTATTCTGTCCGGAGTCCTAGGTGGCTAGTGAGCTGGGAGAGTTCCTCGTCTGTGAGCGGTTGAAGGAGTCCTTCAAGCTCGCCCCGCCTGTCAATGGAGCCATAGTTGGATATCGCCAGAACCGTCAACTTTCCCTTGAAGTGTTTCAAGGCGGTTCTCTGCAGTTTGGCTAGCGCCGCACAATGCCGGTCATACGCCTCGTCCTTGTTGAGCTGCGCGCCTGAGTGGTCGTCGACGGGAAAGTGGGTGTAGTGGGAGAAGAGAGCGCACAGCTCCCGCAGCAGACTGTTTGGCTCGTCGTTGAAGAGAGGCGACAGGGTGAGGGCGGGGAGTACGTGCAAGTCTTGGAGGAGGGTATTGACATATCGTCTGGTCGGGAGCTGGCTCTGCAGGTCGGTGAGAAACTCGACGAAGCGCTCACAGTAGAGCACGTGCTCTGGCTTTTGGGCGTCGGAGTAGAGAAGGCCAAGAAAGTCCAAAATCAAGGTATAGAGCCAGGATCTCTCGAAGCGCAG